GTAGTAGTGGTAGTGGTGGTAGTAGCAGTAGTAGTAGTAGTAGTAGTAGTAGTAGTAGTTTTGGTAGCAGCACAATCGTAGCAGCAGTAACACTAGTAGCGAAGGCGCGGTAGTAGTTGTTGCCTTACCAGAAAATCTGTTCCGTCGTTGCAGCAATCGTCCTTATGGTCGACGTGCTGCCCGCCACAACAGCCGAGTCAGAGTAACTGGGATTAACAAAGTATTTCGGATGTCGGTCTAGGGAATCGCACCGAATTACCAACGCACACGAAATCAAACTGCTCCCCACCAGCGGGTTATCAAGAGTAAACGGAAACGGCCAAGTATCGTTGCCAAAAGCTAACTGGTGACAAATGTTGCTCTCAACACCCAACTCAGAACAAGCAATAGAAATCCTAGCAGTAGTACGCAAGTCAAAACGGCTGTTAAACTTTCCATGATGTAGCAACTATGTAGCAGAAAGAATCAATAACAACGAAATGGCAACGTTATGGTCGAAAGCGGCTCGCTGGCCAACGAGGAATCAGCATTTAGCAGCTTTCCATCAATCCTAGTGCATGTCCTTTGCATTCCTTTGCGAGTCTGCTGCGACATTCCCCACAACAATGCTCCGACGATCTTCTACCAGTATTACAAACTATCTTGCCAGCCAGGCCTCTCGATTCAACAAGCCTGAAGCTGCAACTGCATGTGGGTATCTCGTGGTGCGCACCAACCCTATGGCTTCGAAGTGGCCTGTGCTTCCTGGACATCTTATGGGCGGCGACCATGACGTACGGCTGTGAGGCATAACACCTTCCACAACGACCCGGGCAACCATGCACCATTTCATCATCCAGTGCAAGCACTAGGTCAGTACGTCCGGACCCGGCCTGAAGATCATCCTGACGCACAACTGCACGATCAGGAACCAAAGCATGCCACAGCCAGGATGCATTATCATGGACGACTTACACATCAATGCAACGCAAAGTGTTGCAGCATGGTGCAGCGCGGACGTTCCCTGCTTGACTGCCGCCTGCAGGATGAACTCGTGCGAAACATTTCCATGTGACACAATAGGCTGAAGGAGTTGTGGCAAAGCACAAATAACTTAACACTTAGTTTTAATCACAGTCCTCTCCACATGGCTGGTGCCGGTGGGCAACTCTGCAACGATCAAATACTCGCCGCCCCGCGTCACGGTGAATGCCACCATGGCATCCCTGCAGCAAAATTTGTGTGCACCGCAACCTACCGCTTGCCCGTTCGCGCGTAGCACACGTCTTACTTGTACAAATCTGGAGAACTCACCCGATTCGCACAAAAGGAGTCAGCAACTCATTCCATGTACTGCAAGATCCACACAAAAGAAAGCCACGAGTATGGCCAAACAATGCTAAACACTTCGGCACTTGCATTCTGGAGCGTGTTTAAACGCGGGGGTCATGCGAGAGGTGGTGTGTCTTTGGGTCCAGAATCTCGAAGTTGCTATTGCAGCACCCACGAAGGGATGGTTTTGCCCCTCACCCTACATAGCCCTCAATCCCACACGACATCCAGAAACCCTGAACCCAGAAACCCCATCTTCCACTTGCCGCAACCGGGTCCCCCTCCACTCCACTTCCTCTTGAACATATATGTCTCCCACGACGGATATTCTGCTACGTAACCCCTCAATGGAGTAGTTATGTAATAGACCCCTCATGTTGCATGCATTCGCCTCACGGGGATCCAGTTTGAGCGCGATACCAAATGATCACCTTCACAGCAATTCTGCTAAGCTCCGGATTGCCCTAACAGCTCCCAAGCCGAGGAGCTGTACGTGTTCTCGATATTCACCTTCTCGTAAACCTGAGAATTTGGTTTGACAAGTGGCCATCAGCGTGCGATGGAATGAAGATCTTGACGGCTGCGGATACGGATTGGGTTACCATCATCGCATCCGCAGCGGCGGGATCTCGTTCGTGCTGCTAGCGAACTTCTCTGCAGCCAAAGCTCTTTGCAAAGGATGGGGACGGCCCTGCCACCACGCAGCTTTAATTTCTTAGAACACTTTTGCTCATCACTCCTGCGATAGCCAAAGGGCTGTGGTCGACCAGGCGACTTCATCAACATGCGTGGGTCGAACTGCTCGATTGAGCAAACAATCCTCCAGCAGGTGGCGTCTGATCATGACATGCCACACGGGACCGCTGCAGCTCCCCGGATACAATACATCCTCACCACCTCATGGCAAGTCGAAAAGATATTGAATTCATCTGATATAATCTTGCGACCAAGGTTCTCGCAAGGGACAGCGTGCCTCAACTTGCACCCGTCCGGAAACAAGGAAACGGCAAGCAACGAACAAACAGATCGAAAACACATGGTGTCAACTCGCAGTTTTTCCTGTCCCAATCATTTTGACGTTGCACCTTCACCTCTCCCAAACCCTCGTTTCACAAGCCCAGCCTGATTTAAGAAGCCACCTACGCTCCTTGAATGATAAGACCGGCAGGAAATGGTAGGAAACCAAATTTACATATCTTTTTTACAACAGCTGGTCTGCGTACTTGAATTTTCCAGAACCGGGTGGCTTGCATACATTAGTTTTTTTTTTTGCGTTTGCCGTGCATGTTGTTTGCATTGCTGCCTTTTTTCTCCCACACACCCTTTCGTTGTGCGAGCGGCAAGCAAAAATACAATGCAAGGCACACGCTGGAGATCGCAGGAACAAAAAATTTTTCTGCACTGCTGAGATTCCGGAATGTAAAGGAAGGTGTTGGGTGTTGGCTGCAATTGGGCAAAGAAGCTCATTTGGTTAGTGCTGAATTACGCGGAAGCTATGCAATATCGAGCCCTTGCTGGGACCACGTTCGACACATCGCGACCCCAGAATAACCGAAGGGGGTAAACATTTTTACGCAGCCGGCACGCTCGGTGCACCTTGATCCAACCCTTTCTTGGTACATTAACGAAGGAGGCTCCTTTATGTTGCAGGCGGCAGCTTGCACAGGGGCCCGGACTTGTGTTGTGCTGACGGAAAAAATTTGGCAGGGCGCAAACCATTGACTTGGTTGTACTCAGGATGTCGGAATCATGCATGCAGCTTCATCGAATCTCCACAGCCAAATCGCAAAGCCTTCGTATGCCTTCTTTGAATGCTTGAAAAAGTATGTAATTCTATACTTCTTGAAAACCTGAAAAATTGTTTGTGTCTTGCATGTTGATCCTCTGGCCGAAGCTTGTGTGGTCCCTATCATTTCTATGGCATGCCTGACGGACCTATGATAAAACCGCGACAACCGCAGTCCATTGGCATTCCATTGGCGCTACCGCCTCCACCCCGACTGCCAGCTCAAGCTCCGGGGCTGCCGGCTGCGGGTCGGCAAGCGACGGTGCCCACCGGCTCCGCCAGATCCAGGACGTGGTTCAAATCTGGGCCGGCCGGCTGGCATGGCTGCAAGCAGTGCTGGCCACGGCTTGCTGTACCGCCATTGAAAGTTGACACCGCTGCCGCGTGCAGGCCATTCGCGCTGCGCTGCGCAACGCCGGCGAGGCGCGGTCAGAGCGGAGGCAGACGAGGGCCTGCACCAAACCAAGGGCATCCGTATTCCATCGCCCTCCCATTTCGGAACCTATACACCACGTATCGCTGCGGGCCGCCAGCTGCGAGTTGGTGCTCTGCGACCCGCAACAAGGCTTCGCGACGCGTGGAACTGCCAGCTTGCGGCCGTCGTCGAAGCTGCTGCTTTCGCTTGCGGCGTTCGAGCGCCCGCGTGCAGGTTTTGCCATTTGGGGCAAGCTGCCCAACCCTCGTCGAGGAGGAGAGCGCGCGCGCGCGCCTCTGCAGCTGCTTTCAAACAGGGGACGCGGGCGTCTGGTTCTGTGAGCGCTTGGGTGCATGCAGCCACGACACCAGGTTCAACACCGGCAGGGCGCGGCGCTCTGCTCGTCGGAAATCAGCCCCAATCCGCCCTGTGTTGCAAGCGACGAAGCATGACGAAGCCTAGGAACGCGTGAGCTCGCTCGTGTGTGGTCGTCAAGGGGGCCTCCGCCGATTCACGCCAGCGGAGTCTCCCAAACGGCCTGGTCCTGAGCGGGCATACGCAAGGGTCAGTTGCGGAGGTAATATGCGGAGGCACCGTGCGCTACACATGGTTGGCTCGCGGGGAAGTCCACCCGGCGATCAAAAGCCACGCGCAGGCCACGCGCACTGCATGTGAGGCAGCAACGGGAGCTGGTCCAACAACTGCGGCAGGCGGCGGTCCAGCCTGCACCGGGGGAGCTTAGTCATACATTGTCATACCAGATTTTGTTAGGACACCGCTGTCTAAAAAGGGGGCTTGCCCCATGTAGATGCTGCATCAGCAGAGTTGCCCGCAGCACAGAATAATGTGCTAACCAAGCCATTCCGCGTGTAGACGTGCGACTAGAAAAGCACCCGCACGACACACACGTCGGAATCATAACACTTCACAAGCAACAAACTGGAGTGGCATCACCGCGCAACCAAGCCAAACATTTTCCAGGGCGCTGGGGTTAAGTCAACGCAGGTTGGGTGAAGTCGCCTTTCCCCAAGCTCACGCCCAGATTCGCGCGAAGTCGACCCATCCGCAAAAAAACGATTCACACACAGATTTCTGCAAGTGCACGCTGGTTTTGGAGGAACACAGCCCGACATGTCAAATCTGCGCGCCCGGAAAATAGAGCATTAACCGTGTTTCCCTAGAGAGCCTATTGATCTCTGCATTTCTCTCTAAAACCTATTCAATCCTGTGTTTTCCGTACAAAACCTATTCAGTTCTGTATTTCTGTTTAAAACCTATTCAGCCCAGTATTTCGATGTATTTCGCTAGACGCGGCCCTTCGCGAGGCCCGCGCGAGGTCCGCGCCAGGTAGTGGTCACAAGCTACATCTAAGAGCTTTAGCCTAATGCGTACGGGTTACCATATAGGGCTGCGATAATTAAGGGATACCGTCAATGTTTACCATGAGGGTTTAAGGCTTGTAAAGGATACTGTAAGGGCTCGTATAAGAGTTGCCCTGTGCGTGTTTGATCGAAATTCCGATGTACATGCCGGTGCGAAACGGCTTTTCAGAAACACATCAATGCATATTTGGAGCAAGGCTTAGCGTTTGAGTTGGGTTTTCAATGTCGCCACACATTATGGGCTCCCAAGCTTTAATACGGAATCCCCATGTGCTTGCCGGGTGAGATGACTTCCAGCTAGATGTTTTTACGAGCTTGTATGCTGAATCCCCAAGTGCACGCCCGCGCGCGAGACGACTTTACACAAGGTGAAACGTCTTAACCCGACTAGCATGTGCCTGCAGACGGTCGATTTGAGAAGCACCCGCGCAACACGCGTTTCGGTGGAATCACAGCAGTGCTCACCTTCACAAGCAACCGCAGGAGACCAACATCAGTGGCATCACGGCACGGACAAGCCAACCACTCCCCATGTAAACGTTCGATTTGAAAACCGCCCACAATGCCCACAGGAGACACACGTTGGTGGAATCATAGCACATCAGAACCAGCTATTTCCATCTATTTCCGATGTAGGCGCTCGCACCTGCTCAAGACACACATCACTGGATATCAATGGAATCACAACCATCAGGACAAGGTATTGGGTGAGCACCTGGGCAAAGTGAATCAGTCCTCCTTCAGTAATGCCGCAGCAAATGAACTCGTGTGTGCGGGTGTAGCTCATCCGGCCACATGGGGGATTCGACCGGGTACGGCTTCATCTGTTGTTAAGCGTTGGTTACGGCATGTGAAAATGGTGATCTATCAGCCTTCGCATGCAATGCAATGTACTCGGCGACGCTGCGCGCTACGGAGTCGCTCGCCTTGAATGCTGAGTTGTGGCCGCACTTACACCATATAGTTTACAGCCGGCACCTTTCCCCTGTCTCCTCGCGGTTTTGGGGATTAGCTCGCTGTGGGCTTCATTGTTTCAGCGATGGTCGCGCAGCGCGTCATTCCAACATGGGATCTGTACCATGCCGGTTTTGCGCATGTGGCCAGACACTTTGAGCCATGCGTTGCTCGAATGTAGTGCGCACGTCGTATCCAGACGAAGGTGGCGATCTCAAGTTGGCATGAACCCAGTCCTCTGTCTGCGAAGTCTTTTCAACACTGGTGCCGGAGTCAACACAACAACACAGATTGTGCACAATCTGCAGTTTGTGGCTACAGTTTGCCCAGCCGCAAAGGCGTGTGAGATGTGACACGTTGTGATGCCCTTGAGTTTCGTACATAGTCGCACGATGTGTGACACCACACATTGTAATTTCGTACAGCTTGTTTCACCGTTCCGACCGTGACCCACGGTCGTTTCTAGGCATTCTTCTGAAGCATGCACCAAGACAGGGAAATGCTCGCACAGGGCATCGGTGCAACAGTCTCTTTGTTGAGGAAGCAAGCATATCTGAATTACGAAATATTACGAAGTAGACGCCCGTCACAGCAACCCACGCTGTTCACCTCTAAACCCTCGGAATCATGTACAGTCAAGGCCTAGGTCACATCACGTGTTGTTGGGACACTGCTGTTTACGGGGATGCGCACGCGCGCCCCATGCGATGAGGTTACATACGGTCACATCAACATGGCTTCTTGCGTGTAGATGCCGCATCATCAAGGCTTCAAGCAATAGACCAAAACACCGGAAAAAAAACACTTGGTAAACCAAGCCGTTTTCTATGTACACGCTCAGTTTGACAAACGCTTGCTCAAAACACACGTCGGTGGAATCACGGCACATCAGAACCAGATCTTCCCCGTGTACACGTTCGACTTTATATGAGCGCACGCAGGACAATTTTTCAAGAGGCATCACAGCATAACCCAGCCAACCATTGCGCAACACACACGTTGGTGGAATCATAAAACATCAGAGCCAGCAATTGCCCAGGTAGACGTTCGATTTCAGAAGCACACACGCAACGCAAACATCAATGGCATCACAGCACAACCAAGCCAACCATTCCCCATGTACACGCCTGTTTTGCGCAGATGGATATGCTCGATTTCACAAGCACGCACGCAGCACGAGCATCGGTGGTATCACGGCACAACCAAGCCAACCATTTCCCGTGTAGACGCTTGATCAGAAGCACCCACGCAACACACATGTCGGTGGAATCAGAACACATCAGAACCCCGATGGAGATGCTCGATTTCACACGTGACAAGCACACACGCAAAACAAACATCAGCCAAACCAACCATTCATTGATATTCAGTGTGTGTCCGGCGCCGATCAGGGTGATGCAAACCACGATGGGAGTAGAAGAGCTATTGGACGAGTTACCAAATATCATGCCCTGGGTGTCCTACATGGTGATTGTCGACAAGCCCAAATCCCCAACAGCCTTGGGCCCATAGCCTTCAACTTCAGGCCCCTAATGCAATTAAATTACATAGAACAGTGGACAGTAATGGCTACGCAGTCCAGGATGACTGCCCAAAATATGAAAACTACAACTGCTTCTGCTGCTCTGCTGCTGCTGTTGCTGCACTACTACAGACAGAACGATTCCCCATGTAAACGGCTGTAAATGCAGCTTCCACAAGCACCGGATCGAGACGCACATCCATGGCATCTAAACAAACCGAAACCAGCCATTCCCTATGTAAATCATGCATAACATCCCAACAGGCATTCCCCATGCAGATTCCACAAGCAACAACTTGAGACACACATCAGTGGCATCACAATCACAACGCAGGCTTTTCCTGTGTACACTTTCGATTTCGCAAGCATCCACTCAGGACACACATTGGCAACACAGCAACAGCACATCACAGCCATTCTGCATGCAAACCTTTGCTTTCTCAGGCGCCCTCTCATGGGCAGAACAGGGGCAGCGCATCACAGCCAGCCATTCCCCATGCAAACGCTCGTACAGCCAAGCCGCCAGTGATCCGAACGCAAACCTATTCCGCAAATAGACGCCTCGATTGTAATGAACGACAAGATCCGACTGTGACGTGCCTCCCGGCACCTCGATTGTAACTACAACGACACGATCCGATACCTTTGAAGCTACCGTATTCACCAGTGTGACGCCCCTCCCGACACCTCGATTGTAGCTACACCGACAAGATATGACACGAAGGAAAATATTGTATTCACGGTGTGACGCCCTCCAGGGACGCCTTGCGCATACCCGGCACGCCGTAGCTCATGCACCCAGTAACACAAGCACAGACTCAAAAAAAAATCAGTCGCATCACAGCACATCCAAACCAACCTTTGAGTGTGTGTCCGGCTGCTTTCTCGTCGGGTCCGACATACAAGTTTGCTCCCCCGAGCACCTGTGAATCGGATGGCTCCTCCCCGATTGTTTCAAAGTAGTAGTTGTCCATGTTTCCTACCGTCACCGGAAGCCGTCGGGTGACGGGGCGTCAGCCTCCGTGGACCACATTGGCGGTGCGCTTGGGCGCGGGCATCGGGCGGAAACCCCGACAAAGGGACAATCCGCTGACAACCGTGAGATTGTTTGTGAGCAGGCCCCCACCCTCAAAAGACCTGGGCCTTTTACTGCCCAGCTGCTCTGCTGCTGCTGTTTGTAGCTGCACTGCTACAGAACGAACGACTCCCCATGTAAATGGCTGTAGGCCAGCTTCAGCAATCAAACCTCAAGTATCCCGAACCAATGCGATCACGAAACCCCAAGCCCGGTGGGGTGGGATCCACACAGAAACAATGCGATGTAGCTGTCACTGTAGGAGGCGACACCGACAGGACAAGCCCAACTCGTCAAACCCGCCCAGGACCTCACCAGCGAAAACAAGATGCAAAAAACACGGCAACCCGAAACGACCACCACCGCCGCCGACATCTCGCTGGCGCTCACCGCCGCAGAGAAAAAAGACTGACTGAACTTCCGACGTCTTCCCGGATTCTGGTATGACTTCACGGTGCTGACTCAACTTGAGCTGCAAATTTAAATAGGGCAGCTTTCAGTGGGCACCCCACCTTCGTCTGGATGGGGTGGTGCGAGAAAAACGCGGGGCGTCACAGCCCTAGGAGAAGTACTGTAACGTGCTGGGGTGTTCACGCTCATGCATGTCATTCCGTTACGGGGTAGTGCGGGCGAGTCCGAATAAAACGCTGTGAGGGTCTAAGCGAAGCAATGTGCTGCGAGGTTCACGCTCGTGCATGTCATTCAATTCACAAATGCACACCGCAACAACCACAACAGGAACAACAACATGACCACCACCATCAGCAGCAACAACAACAACAACAACAACAACAACAACAACAACGTGCCTTGTACGCCAAGCGCCAAAAGCACCAAGTGACCCATGTTAGAAGAACGTTGTTTCGGGCCCGGACCGGGTCGGCAACAAAACAACTGCAGGGTATTAGGACGTTTTAGACGTACCAAAGGGCTGAAGGTTGGGAACCCAACCCGGCACATTAGTCAATGTGTGTCGATGCTCCTTCTCGCTTCCAGCATCATCACTGCCGACGCGTTCGTTGATGTTGCAAGCTGTCCATGTAGGAGTTGGGAATGTATGGGGGAAAACAGTTTTCGACCTGCAGGATTCCAAATGTCAGTGTGAAATAAAAACGCTGAAGAAAAGAGATTGTTCCAAGACATGAGCCCAGACTTTTACAATACCGGCGGAGATCCCGAAACAGTGCAAGGCCATGCTTGAAGCATGCCATTAGGACCAGGAAGTCACGACCGCCGGGCCGCGTTGGAAACTGGAGATCGTGTGTGTTTTCGAGCACTGCGACATGCTGCGACCAGGACGACCACGACGAGGAAGACGACGACGAGCAGGAGACCGGATCACCAGGAGACCACCAGGACCGCACCAAGAACCTACCAGGAGACTTCCAGGTGTGCGCGAGCCGGCCGAAGAGGACTGCTTCAAAACAAGCGGTTCTGGTCCAAAATATGCACGGCGTTAAAGGGTTAACCGGCGGGGAAACCTGCCCTGCGGACAGTCACCTATGTGTCCCATATGTTGTCACACTGATGAGAATAAGGTCCATGTATCACAACGCAGGCATGAGTCGTTCATGCATCATGGTGGTGTACCGAGTTTTTCGATTCGGCGGATCCAAGGCTGAGTTTCGACTGGCGTCGGGCTTCCACATCGCCAGCCAAAGCAATACCGGCAAGTTTCACCACATCCAAGGTGAGTTGCTGCGGCACGGTGACCACGAACTCTGGCTCATTATTCCGGACCTTGGTGTTCGGCATCGATGTTGGGCCATGCCCCGAACATTAAACCTCTCGCGAAAAAGCCAGGCTTGGCATGCATGTCGAAAGCTGCAGATAGGAACAGTCGGAACAACCCAATGCTTCCGAGCGTCTATTTCACCGGGATTGGCGAACACCCATTCCTGGACATAAAAGTGCGGCATGCACTGTTGTTGACCGCACACTAAACACCTACAACGTTTAAACTTCTTGGCAGCCAGCAGCAATCACATGCTGCCAGAACACATACCATGCCAATGGCTGGCCGTCTGTACCAACATGCTGCACACCACGCCGCCGGATCTCCATGGCATTCATGTCTTCATGTCCTGCTCCGTCAAGCTTCTGATCGCTTGCGACGTTTTCACGGACTGCACTCGTCCCTGCACACCGGCCCCTGATCGCTCCAGCCTCCGTCGGTGATGGCGGCGAGGTGAGGAGCCTCGGAGTGCAAGCGAAATCCGTTCTGTAAATCACGGTGTCGGTTTGGACGTTGCCGCGTCTGTTTGTGTCGTTTCTAGCCAGAAGGTGTCGAGGCTCGTGAGACCTCTGGACGACCTGGCAGTGCTGCCTCGGAGCTCCGGCTGTTCCGTTTTGGAGCGCTTCGGTTTCCGACGCACAGCACCCCCAAATCATGCGCTCGAAGCTGCTGCTTCAAGGTTGCGCCCGGTGGAAGCGGCCCTTGTCCGACTCGTGGTCACACCGCACAGGATTTCGTATTGCGACGACTTTTCCACATGTCAACTATGCCAACTATGCGCAATCGGGTCAAGGATTTGCGCTCGTCCCTGTGCATCGCCGCCAGTGCAGAAGGCGAAGTGCAGCACACCTTTTAGAGCCAATGCGGATGAGAGTATAGTCTCGCGACAAGCCATAGATGCTTCAAAGCATCGGCGGCATCAAGCCATGAAGTCTGCAATAGGCGCCCCAGAGCGCCGTGGCTACGCACAAAAGGGTCCAAAGCAAAATGATTCTTCAGCTGCGTGGTCTTAAGGTAGCTGGCGCAACCGCCTGTCTGAGATGCTCCAATCTGTGGAGTCGTTCCTGTCTGCATCCTCTGCGCCCCTAATTGGGCTCTCTGTCCTAATGATAATGAAAGGGAATGTGGTCCGTTCGCGGAGAGCAAGGCTTGCAAAATACACCATCCTGCACCAAGCCCCTTCGTCTTGGTATCGCGGTATCAGAGCATTGGTGGCGCTGACAATGTAAACTGGTGACCCAAACGCCTCTTGCACCACCGCTACTGCTAATATCTGCCAATTATACCGGTAGTACCGCTGCCAGGTTGGCGGCCACACCCTCATACTTCCTACTTGGCTTCACCTGGCAGCCGCCGATCCGCAAATTAACCCTGCCGGACAATGTTTTGCAAAGTGTTAATGTGAACGGTCGCCTTGGCTGTCCACATGAACACTGCTTTGGCGGTGAGTCAAGATAGAATATGGATGCAAACTTTGATTTTGGAGCGGCTTGTGTCTGGGGGAAGTCTGGAAGCTTTGAGTCAAGCCTGCCTGTCCTTCGAGACCACGCACCTGACTATCTCACTGAAGCTCAAATGCCAGCGCTTCAGATGCCAGCTCGGCATGTGCTTCAGCTCGTTCGGCAAACTTTAAGGCCCGTGGAACCTGTGTTTCTGTACATGGTACAATGGTGCTTCTCAATCATCTCCGTTTCACATATGCGTATCGGTTTGTCTGGCTCAAACAGAGTTCATCAAAGACGCGGTTTGCTAAAACATGTCTTTTGATCAAGGAAGACATCGAGGGAAACGGACCAATCCTGTGATCGGGCATAATTGAGCTATACTAAACACCGGAGGTTGTTCTGGCGTGCTATAGGGTATCAACGGTCCAGGGTTATGCATGAGGTGCAATGGTAGCTTATCGCTTGCAGCGATTCATCTCTATGTTTAGTGGCTTGAGCACGGCATCCATGAATTGCCGGGTAGGTGCATCAGCGGCTAATTGCACCCACCATCAGAATTAAATTAGATTCCCGCTCCGGTCTTGACTGGTACTCACTTCATTGCATGTTGAGTCTGGTACTTGAGCATGGAATCGTCTGGTGCCTTTGTGCGAGGCTGCTAGCCGCTTGCAGAACTAACAGCTTGCCTCTACAACAGGAACTAGAATGGCATGGAATAGCAACAATTGGGAGTTTCCGAAAATTAGGGATACCTTATTTTGGGGTCCTTATAATAAGGATCCTTTTATTTTGGGTACTATATTAGGGTCCCCTATTTTCGGAAACCCCCAATTGTCTCCGGATCCACGGGATGAAAGACGCTTCAGGCTGTTACAGGCGATGGCTACCGGAGATGAACTTGTAGATGTACCTTAAGAACCCCAAACCTACTTTTTTGTAGGGTCCCTATAATAAGAACCTACAAAAAAGTGGGTTTTGGGTTCTTAAGGTAGAATGTAGGGAGACGCGGAGCACGGCAAATGCAATAGATCAGCCCTCCAGGCTGCTCCAGGGCATATACCATAATGTACCATACATAACATACCATGATATACCCTGATATACAACATAGGACAAATTTTGTGCGACGAAGTCGAGCAAAAGAACCGACATCCATATGCCCCAAAGCCTACGACAGGCACCTGGCCTGCGGAAGGATGGCACCGCCAAGAGCAATGCACAAGAGAGCACCGACCATCGTTCGTGAAGGCATTTTTTTGAACGGTTCTTATTCGCTTCAGGGTTCAGGGTTCATAACATGGTGGTATTTGCAGCATGCCTGACACGATGGCCAGTGCTAAACTTCGGCTATGCCCGATTGGACTCTCGACCGAGTTGTGGTGTCCCGGCTGCCGGCATCTTCAAAAACTCAGGACTGCAAGGTTTGGTGAGGGCAGGTGCGATTCAGGGTTCACCAAGGTGACTGGGGCTTGGGCGATACTTTACGTGATTTATGTGTGTTCCAACTGTTTCTGCTCTCTCTTAGTGCCGATTTCTTCGTATCGAATCAAGGCAACAATGTCGTGTACTACGTAGATACGACCTGTCCAGTTGCCTCTCTCAGTTCAATCACTGGTCCACTTCGGCCGTCGTGCCGGTGTACTTTCAATAGTCCGCATGCGATGCTAAGCCTAAGAAATCTGTTCCGTCAACCCGGTCGGGATCCAACCATTAAGCGCAGCGCAAACTGGAAGATCACCTGAGCTGAAGAGGCAAGTCAAACCAAAGCCGTCAACCAACTGTAACAGTGCCAAGAATCCAAGGCCTAAAAATCAAGAAACACACATGTCCTCCCTTACCCAGCCCTCCGCAGCCCCGCATCCAAAGAAGCTCTAAAGTCTTGAAACCAGCCAGTATACTTGCCCCTTATGGAAGCTTAGCATGCAAGCAAGCTTCGCTTTACCGTTGGCGACCGCCAGGTATGCTTGCCTTGGCTCATGCATAGTTGCTTCCCCATCCGCCGGAGAACCAAAAGCATAAGTCCTGGAAAATGCGGAAACGGAGCGTAGCATGCAGGCTGAGCCATGCAGTCGTTTTTTCGGGTGTCTGGTCATGCAAGACCGGACTGATTTTCTTCCCTGTATTGTTCATCTGCAGGTTCTTTCTCGGCACATCATATCAGGATTAGTGTCAGCGAGAAACTGAATGCACAGTATACAGTATGTCCTCGCAACCTCCCAGACGGCCACCAACAAATTCCGGAAAATTTGAAGAAGTCACCGTCACCGAAGACTCAATGTGGAAACGCACTGCAGACCGAACAACTATGTTCCTAGAGAACCTCCCACCTGCAGTCACTCACCTTAACGCCGGCTCTGGAAGCTTTCAACAACTTGTACAGTGGCACGGCCCTCTGCCGGCCTTTCCTCTGACAAGGAGGCACACATGTAGCAAAGTGTGGGTGCGTCGAATTGAGCAACAAGCTTACCCAGTGGACTACTGCGCCGATGCTGGGCGGGGTCGCAGTTCGTAAGGTGCTGCTTCCAAGTCTAGCTAGTTCGGTTGCAGCAAAGCCGCCAGCCATCTTGCTCTAGTCTTCGGCGCTTCTTCTCAACGGTCGCGGCTTCGTCAGCCTTGAACCGATGCCCCTTCAACCCGGACCCCCGAAACCGCTGCGAATGAAAAGAAGTCTCGAGTGGTTGCACGAATTCTCGGCACAAGTTTGCAGAGTCTACACCGGAACATGGCCACTGTGCAACAGGTGCTTGCATTGGACAACGTGTCAGCCTAGTGCATGCAAATGCCAGCAGGAAAACCTGGGCTTGCCCTTTGACCCCTTGATCCTAAGCCCTCAGGCATTCCAGGCTGAATCCTGATAGTAAGCTCATCACTTTCAAGGAGAAATTCTCTCTCCCACTCCTTTCCATCTGTCCATGAATACGCTTCTTTCCTACTTCAGACCTCACACTACGAGATCTTGCGCTGAACGAAGGGCCCTGGACGCTTACGAGCCAGGAGGCCATATACCTGGCCATCTTCTGCCTCTGGCCTGAGCCAAAGTACCAAGGGTTCCCCAGGGTTTAGGGTTTAGGGGTTTAGGGGTTCGGGTTTCGGTTCGGGAAAAAGGCTGCCTGCAGGGGGTAAGGCTGAGCCTTGTCGCCCAGTATATGGGGGGCCCTCGGATCTGCAAGGATTCAATTCCCATTTTGGCGCCTGGGTTGGCAGCCCCCAGGATGCGCACGGCGAGAAGTCCCGCATTGGCCGCGTTGCCGATTGCCACGGTGGCCACAGGAATGCCTCTTGGGAGCGGCACGTGGAGGCTCATAGAGTTGAAGGATGTTTGAAGCCTAGCTTCAGCTCCGTGGAGCTATCTGCATGCACAAGTTGAGCATCTTTCTACTCTAGGAATTTTATTTCCTGGGTTGCTGTGGCTTCAGTGTCGAACTGCGGAATTCCTTCCCCGATAATCTCCTGTGACGGGGAACCTCCAGCCTCTTTCAGGAGTTGATCGGCCTTTACACAAGCCTTCCACGGCTTTGCTACCCTGAAATCCATCAAACCTGAAGAAGCCTTACGCCCACAGGCCACATCCCTGTGCCTTTCGGCATCTGCACTATGGAGAGCAGCGAGTCGTTGCCACTCAGGGTGGAGGACTTGACAGGCACGCCAATCCTCAAGCAACAGGAACATAGTGAACTTCAATAAACACGTGGGGTTTGTTCTTGAGGAGACGCAACACACCCAAATTTGTGTTGTCACCAGTCGCTCAACGTGAGGTGTGAAAGGATCCTCTACCTCTTCAGCCTTCAAGCCCTGAGGCTGTGAAGTCACAAGGGTCCGAACATGTCCGAACTATGCTGAAACCGTGGAATACGAAGGAGTCTAAGCATCCTGGGAGTTCACACTGAAGAAGCCTGGGCCCGATTTCTAGAATTTGGGGACGTGCATGGGGCAAAGGTCGGGAATCTTGACGCCGAGAAGCACTGGCAAGGGCGTCAGGGCTGCCACCATGCCAGGGAGGTGCCTGAGCGGCCGTTG